GGTGGGTGGGTGATGGGTATTGAGGAGGGCACCTGTTGGGATGAGCACTGGGTGTTGTATGGAAACCAATTTGACAATAAATTTCATATTTAAAAAAAATAATTTCACATGCAAAATGTAGGCAGCTGATGCTGAGAAACACTGTGCTTTTCTCTGAACAAATCCTATCCTTCTCCTGATGAAAACTGGACTCCAGGGGCAATATCTGCCGGAACTTAGGCATTCTTCCATTCTTTTCTGCTCCAGTACCCTATCAGCTTTTTACAGACCTAAGTTAACTCTCTCCTGGCCCAGAAGAGATCTTGGGGAAACCATCCTTGCTCCACTCCTCACTGAGCCAGTGGAAAGCTCTGCTCTGCAGACCCAGGACGCAGGGCCCTGGAGAAGGGCTGTGGTCTCTCAGCTCCTGGTCCCTGGCCTCCTGGCCAAAGCACTGACTCCCTCATTCATTTTGGTAAAGGTCAGAGAAGGACTCTAGCCACACACTCTCTTTATATATTCAGTCTACCCACTTGTATGCTTGATCTTGGACTTAACTTTAATAGTCTACCCTGCAATTTGTGAATCATCCATTAAGGCTGAATCTTAGAAACTCACCTCTGCCCCCACTGGAAACTAGTAAGAACCATCCAGCTCTGTTAGAACTTAACGCAGATGGGCTGAATCACACCTACCAACTTCCCGAATCTCATTCTACAACCAGAACTGAAAGTTAAAGACATCAGTAAATGTAATAAATTCTTCTTCCTCCTCGTTCCTCATACCTGCATCCAGCCTATCCCCACCAACAATTCCTGCAGACTGGGAAAAACATTCAAAATAAACCAGGAAAAAGGAGGATTTTTTTTTTTTTTTTTAATTTTTAAAGACAGACATCAGACAGAACTGCAAACCAGTGACATCGCTTAATCTCTCTCGATACCATCTACAAAGTTCTAAGCTTTGGCAGCTAACCTGGTTTGCTTACAAACAGTCACAGGACAAAGATTTGCCTCTCCCTACCTGCAGAAACTGGTCGGTGCAGGCTATTTTCATTTTACATTTCAGAACCTCAAAGCCTCCAGTATAAATACAGGTTATTTAGATTTTAATTTTTATGGTCCTGACTTAAAGGTCTTGGATTAAGGGGCCTAAAAAAGCCAACTCTAAGGGTAGACCTGCTTATCTACATAACCAGTTTAACGACACTACCCTAACCACCTCAACTGAGCGCCTCTGTGTTCCAAGGACTAAGATAACATTTCTTTCCAATTCAGATTTGGCCAAAAGGGAAACAGACCTACAACAGTTGTAACTGCGTAACAATCCGGCTGAAGTCATCTGGGTTAATGGTTCTAACCACAGACAAGCTGCATGTGTTAAGTACAGAATCCCTCCATGGACTTTCTTTCAGACAAAAGACCCTGTACTCGGTTATATCCTCAAATGTTAAAACAGTAAGAAAAAATCAAGTATCAGGACTAAATATGAACTCATCTGATCTTAAAATTTTATAACTGCAATGTGTGAATTCGAAAGTATGACACAGTCCTAATTCTAAGTCAACACTGACCACAGGCTTGGGTTCAATGTGGTTCAACTTCCACTCTCTCTGCTGACACTGGTCAGATTTGGGTCACCCACACGCTACCTAGCAAGCTAATCTGATTAGGTTCATCAGGCTTAAAGCCTAGGTTTTGTTTGTGGACTGTGGTGAACTGGGGTCAACATCACAAAAGGAGCTCCCCATACCAAACCTTATAAAATCCTTACAGAAAAACTTCTCTAGAGTCACTCTGATTATAGCAAAAGAGAACTGCTTCCTTTCCCAAACCACATTACATTCTAGAGAGTACACCTTGAAGAAAATACAAGTTTTTTAAATCCATGAATCTGAATGATTGAATCACCGAATGTTTATTTAAAAGAAAATAGTGAAATGTGTGTTTAGACTTCACTGTCACTTGGGGAAAACAGGATCAAAATCACTGTCTGAAAACCTAAAGGAGCTGGACTCCTCAATACCACCACCAAGCTGAACAAGAAACAGTAAAAGAACTTGTTACTTATTTTACAAAGTATTCCAAGCCTATCTTAAGCAATGCCCTCCTGGATTTTCAGGATACAAAAACCCTCTCCACGCTTTTCTCATCTAAAAATTCTAGAGAATGTGAGCTGGAGCTGAAGAACCTATGTAGGGCTTTCTTAGGTTGGGGCTGCTTTTTCTGTCCGCTCATTCTGATCCCAACAAGAGGCCGGTGAGGGAGGCATTTCGGCCAACCTCATCATCCCCATTGGGCAGGTCAGAACAAGAGAGATCCATTAACTCAGAAGTCACAAAGCTAAGAGGGGCCTGCAAGGACTCAAACCTGATGTTCCCCCCTGTCAGAATTAGACTTGAACTTGCAGGCACATACGTAAGGCCAAAGTGCAAGTCTGAGGGCTGCATCAAACCCGGGTCACCTGAGGTACACAGTAAGATTTTCAATCTTCCAACTCAGAATTTCTGGAGATGGACTTTAGAAACACGTTATGTCAGCCAAGTTTCTCAGATGATTCTGAAGCCCATCCGTTTGAGGACCACCAGCCTGAGTGAATCCTAAATCCAAATCCAGCCAGAGGACCCGTCTGTTTACCTATCCTCAAACAACACAGAACTTGCCAAGCAAACCAAGCAGCTTATTCAAGTTAACTGCACCAGTGACCTAAGCTGAACCAGTCAGATCAAAGGACTTCACAGGCCTCAGCCGAAACAACGAGGTCAAAAGACTTAGGTCAGAGGTGCAGGCAGTAGCAGCTTCACTCCTTCCAGGGTAACTTCTCAGTGCACCTTACCCAACAGTATCTTCACAAACTCTAAGCATGCCTGGAGGCATCTTCTTGTAGATTACCAACACATGGGGTATCAAATTCCTTCTGAAGGCGCATACTCTTAACTTCTAGAGGAAGTAACATGGATTTAACCCTACGCAAAATCATCAAGTTGGGTTTACAGAGCATCCATGATTGTGGCAGGCACCCTAAAGACCACACAGAAAATTACCTCCTACCCATTTGTTTCATACTGAAAATGGCAGCAAGTCTCCTTCTGAACTCACTTCTTCTGGCACAGAATTTTTAAAAAGGAGGGAAAAATGATGACAATTTCAGGTTATTTCATAGATTCAGACTGTGTCCACTGCCTTTGAAACATACTTTCAGGGGGGAAAAAAGTTATCTCCCCATGGTATCCAGCAAGCACTATCCAGCAGTACGTTTCTCAGGTGGAATCCGCCTGAAAAGACTTCAAGGCAGATGGGCCAAGCCTTGGACTTCTCAAAAAACCTCTCACAGTAACATGAGAATGTCTAACAGCAGGAAGCCGAGAAATGTAATGTCAAGAACAGAGAAAAAAGGAACAGGCTTAGAAATAAGCACATTTGAAAAAAACAGTGAAAGATTTGAAAAGATCAGTCCAAATTTAAGAAAGAAGAATTGGCCCCTTACCATTTGAACCTAAAAGAATATACCCAGGGCAAGACAAACTTCAGAAGACATGACACTCTTGAAATACAGAATTTTATTTAGAAACTGTTTAAAGTAGAAAAAAACCCTGTCAAGAAAGACCAGGTGGAAAATGGGTTCCCAATAAAATGGAATTTTAGGGCAACAAAAGTCTAAAAGGCCACAAAAGAGAAATAGCACCACTGTTATTTGAACAATGGCTAGTTACTTGCATTTTTTGGCATTGTTAATCACTGAATCTGGGTTTTCCTCTGAATCCCACACAGAGCATGCACTACACAACAATTTTATCATAAAATATCTGCTTTCTACACACATTTTAGGACAAGCTACCACCAGAAACAAATCAATACAAATACATCAGGGGCTGAACAATCTCAGTAGTGGGTGACACACATTTTGCAGAATTCTGCCAAACAAAGGAACTGAATAGGCTAGGGGTAAAGCAAATGAGGAAGAGTTAAGGAATGAAATATTTTAAATATTAATAATTAATTCAGACACGGTACTGTATTTTCTGCAAAAGAAAATTAACATTTAGTAACACGCTAACGAATTTTATCTCCAAAGAGATTAGTGCACTGGCAAAGTATTCCGATAACAGTGGAGGGCTGTGGACAGCAGGTACCAAGAACACCCAGCCTTGCAGAGCCCAAGGTAGCGACGGCCTTCACTGGTCACTCCCTTTGCCAGAGGTCCAGAAAGAACTTGCAGCGTGACCACCTGCCTGCTGAACTTACACTCTAAGCAGCAAACTTTAAGGAGCCAAAGAG